CTCCAGGCACTCACCGACCAGGGATCTGTCCGACCGACACCGAGGCGGACTTGGGCTCGATCCCAGAAGGAGGCCGGCCGAAATCAAAGGCCAGGTCGTCGCGGCTCCCTCAACAGCTGGACACCCGTCAGCCGACTCAGTGGCTGCACCAGCCCCATCGGAGGAGGTCCCGATGGAGGTTGAGGCACCCCCTGAGTCCGACAGCTGACGAGAGCGCAGATGAGGAAGTCCTCCTGGAGTCCGAGATCGTCCCTGATTATGACCTCCCCCGGACTATGATGAGTAAGTTAGGGTATTAGCTCTGGGTCCCCAGAATCGCAGTCGTGTGAGCCCTGGAGGGGCCCACATGGCAGTCCTTGTAGGGTAGGGACGGATCGGGGTGAGGCTACGCCGATCCCCCATTTTGCCTGTACATAAGAGCAGACCGGAGACCGCATGTGACGCAAAAGGAAGGGATGCGCGCAGGTTTGGGCGGGGTGACTTTGTCATAATTTTGACTGAGGGTTCCCCTCCTCCCCTTTTTAACACGGAGTGGGGGAACCTCCCTTGAGGTGCCACCGAACAAGTCGCCGCCACCAGCAGCAAAAAGTGAGCATCCTGTGCGTTACATTGCATACATGCATGTACAGTTTTGGCAAGTAGCGACAAGTAGGCAGAACTGTAGGGTTTAGGAATGCAGGGTTTGGGCTCAGGATGTAGGATTGGGATCATGAAGAACCCAATGGAAAAGAAAAAGAAAGCTGAATTGTAATTTAGAGTTGGCTCGGTTGAGGCATACTGTCGGGGCCGATGTTCCTCTGAGTAGCAGTTTGGGGCAAAGAACTATGCGTACTCTATGTCTATCAGCAAGGCATTCAGGCTTCTTTGCTAAGGAATTATGGAATGTAAGGTGTATGGAGGACTGGGGTTTCAGGGCTCAAGGCTTGGGATGAGGGATGTCAAGCAACCCGTGTGGAGGGGGCTTCGGGCTCAGGGTTGAGGGCTTACTGCCAGAGCATGAGCTCCTTCTATGTCTAGAACATCATGGGCCCCAAAGCCCTAGTTCCAAAAAATCTGGAACCTAAACCAATCCTAAACCCGAAGTCCAATATTATTCTTTACAACCCACCAAAGCTGCCCCAAAAACCTGCTCTGCAAGCATAGGTGCCCTTGATGCCAAGCAGGCCCAAAAAACTACTATACAGTATAATGAGGCGTAAGGCGTGGTTCAAGATTTCTTCCATCCACAGCAGTACTTCGGTGATACCCCAAACCCTGAACAGTGAACCGTCAACCCCTAAGGCCTCTCAAAACCATAAACCCTTCAACCCCAAAACAACTAAGGCCATTCGCTTCTCCAGGTCGTCTGTAAGAATCTTTGCGTGCATCTCGCATGGATTGTCCTGCTTCCATATAGCCCCCAAGCCCTAAAGCCCAAACCCTGCACCTGAACATCCCTAAAGCCTGAACTCCGAACCCTCAAAAACTGTTGTATGGGGGTTTCCCAAAATTAGGGGTACCTTTTTGGGTACCCTAAATACAACCACTCGTATGGCTCACTGATCCTGGGATGTCGCGCACATCCAGGCGGAAGGCCGAACTTGCCGCGGCCACCAGACCCCTGTCCACGGTTCAGGCTTAGGGTGTTGGGTTTAGGGTTTGGTTTTTTTCAGAGTTCTATAATTACAAGGATACAGTAATGGAAATGTAAATTAACAGTTGGGGTTTAGGGTATGGTTTATAGCTTGAACATGGAGAACCAAATGGAAGAGACAATGGACAATGAAATGGAAGCTTGGTTTATGTAGGAATTAAGGTTTGCGGGGCATTTTAGGGTTCATCCTTTGAGGTGTGGGGCTGAGGGAGTGTATTCGGAATAATGGAGAGTCAAATGGAAAGCACCATGCAAAAAGGCAGAGGGAATTGCTTTACAGGAGTCTATATGACTCATGGTCCTTCGTCGAGGGCTTAGGGTTAATGAGGGTGGAGGATTTGCGGGGTTTTGGAAGAACGCCTAGGGCTTAGGGAAGATTGCTTTACCATGGGCGTTTGCCCGTGGGCAATGTCCAGGAACAGCCAAATTGCCCAGGGGGTGCAGTGTTCTCTGCATGTTTAGGAGATGATTTTCCTGCAATGTTCAGCCTGGCTTCGTGTCGAGACTTCTGGTCATGCACGTGTTTTGGGGCTGTAGCGGTTTGGGTGGGCATGCGCAGAATCAGCAGTAATTGCAGTGTTTTTTGCGCACTTCTCAAAGCTGATGCGTGGTAGAGGACTGCATGCAATTCTGTACCCAAAAGGTTGGCTGCAAATCTCGATTCGATGGCTTTTTCTACGACATGTGACGACTAGAAGTCAAGTTGGAGCAGCGCAGAACGGCATGCATCCCTGCACGCTGAACCGGCTGCAAAGCTTAGCTTGGCGTTTGTTTGAGGAAAGTCGTTTGTCACCAATGAGTGCAGAGTTTTGTGCTTCCTCGGAAAGCTTCGGCATATGTCTCCCACATTACTTATCATGCTTTGGGCATGGATGACCTGGTCACAGAATGCAGTTGGGCATGGGCGTGGTTAGTGTTTGGGCACGGATGCTGTGAACACGGAATGCTCAGACGAACCGCTGGAACAACGTGCGGAAAGGAAACCCAGTAAATCTTCGTGTAACCCTACAGAACACCTACATAACCCTACATAAACCAATTTACCATCTAGAAACCTAATGAAATCCATATATACACTATGTAAGCCCCTATAAGCCTAAATCATCCACTTTCAACCTTACAACCCTGAACCATACATCGACCCTGAATCCTAAACCCGAAACCCTTGCGTCGGCCTGAAGACTGCCCGAGGCGCCGTGTGAAGGGCGTTAGGGCCATCCAGCATGAGGAATGCCCTTGCCTGCATCGGTATAGGGGTTTAGGGTTCAGGGTCTAGGGTCTAGGGTTAATTAGGGTACGTTTATTCAGGGGAGTATATCGGGATTACACAGGGATTATACGAAATCGGGGGTCATCCAGGAATTATAGATGATTACAGCGCGTTGTATAGGGACTGTGCAGGCTTTATAGGTTCCAGGATGTAGAACTTAGGGCTTGGAGCTTAGGTTTTAGGGTGCGCAGACTGCAAGAGCACGTCCGTTGCGCAAGAGCACGTCATGCAAATGATGTAGAGCTTCATTAGGGTTTAGGGATGTTTAGGGCTGCTCGCAGGGTTTAAGACTTCCGGTGGCAAAGTTTTTGTGGGGTCTATTTGGGGTGCCCTGCACTATGCCATAGTAGGGGACTACATTCCTACGTTGGGTTTTTGGTAACGAGGTTCAGTTTTGGGTTTGGAGTTTGGGCAGGAGGTGGGGTTTGGCGGTCAAGACAGAAGGAAAACTGAGAATGGGGTAAGATAATCAGGAATTGGGCAGGGCTTGAGGGGGACACCTAGCAAGTGCATTGAAAAAAGAAGAGGTTGCACGGCAAGTATTAGTTCTACTGGCAGCAACACCCATTCCAGCTAAGTCAGATTACAATCCCTTTTTGCTAGCGTTATCTATAATTGCATTGTAGGATATCATGTACCTGGTTATCCCTTCGGTTTTCCGCTACCTAGAATTCCGGGATTCCTGTGCAGTTTCTCGGGTTTAGAACCTCTTCAGGGTTGAGGGTTTGATTTCAGGGGTCCTTGTACAAGAAATGTGTGGGGTGGTCTGGACTCATCAGCCGAAGATTTTCCGAAGAACTGCATGTACAGGGAAGCATAAACACACAACCCTGTCACTGCACTGTAGCTGAGCCCTAAACCTTGAAGTCTAAACCCTGACTTCCGAGCGCTACCCTAAGCCTTGAAACCTACACAAACCTTCAGTCTAGCCGTTCAAGAGCAGGTTTGGGAGTCACAGCTCTTCAACATGGGTTTGGGGCCCAGCTGCAACCTAAACCGAAGGCTCAAGATTCAGGACCTAAGGTTTAGCTTTAGGTTTAGGGCTTCAGTTGGTACTTGGTATTGCTCCGGAAGGAGGGCTTAAGGCTTAGCGTTGGAGGCCCAGCAGCAAGGCGAGATACCTCGCAAGAACCCCCAGACTCCGCCCTTGCATCCTGGCTTTTGAACCCTTCAACCCCAAAGCCTTCAACCACCAGACTTAGAGGTCTAGGATTGAGGATTTAGGGCTGAATGATAATTGTATGAACTCTCTACATAAAAACCCTTTGAACCCTAAGCCCAAAAAACTTAACAACCTAAACCCCAAACGCCGAAAACCCTCCAACAGTTTCAGGCGTCACTCTGCCCAACCATGACTCCTGGAACCCTGAACCTTCGTGTGGGAACGCTGAACATAAGGGTTTAGGGTTGAGGGCTTAGGATTTAGGGTAAACCCCACTCCCCATGGACCTACACATCCATCTTCATTCCCTTGAAGTTCCGGTCCTGGATGCTTCCCGCGGCGTCCCGGAGAAGGTGTCGTGACTGGAACACGGCACCTGGGCAGCTGTAATTTGTTTGGTCCTTGAGGCTGGTCTTTCATGCGAGCTACAGTCATGGGGTACAGGGTTCAGAGGATAATTTGGCTTTTGATATTTACAAGGATTATAGATGGTATATTCTATAGGAGTTCTATGAGCCACAGTCAATATTTTCCATGTAGTGAAGGCATATGGGTTCCTAATAACTAGGGAACATATTAGGACTATACTAAGCCACCAAAGGTGCCCCGATGTATACTCTTAAAAAACCCTTGGTAACCCTAATATTTTGCATATAACTCAAACTGATGGAGGGGCCTCAATAGTTAGCTCGTTGTAAGAGAGCTTGAGGTACGCAATACTGTGAGTAGATTAAGGAATTATATTGCCTGGTATTCAGGCTCATACATAAAGCACTTTTCTCACATGGCGGCGAGTTGCAGGTTGCAAGTCTCCTTAGGCTTGCGATCACGTCTGCGAAAACTTCTGGAGGAAGCGTACTACACTCCTTCATTGAAAAACATGCGCCAAACGATTGAGGACTGCTGCTTCTTCTCAATGTCAGCCCCAAGTGCTGTTACTTGCGCATGATGCGGCCAACGCTGCTGTGCCCTCCTGTATCCTTGGCCACCTCATGCAGGCAGGGTTGGGGATAGCGTTCGACCGACTCCAAGACAATCACTACGTGCTTGGACCGTGCTTCGTCAAGAATATCTGCACAGAAGCGCTCTTCAGCCCCATCTTGAAAGTCACTGACAATGATCAGCATGGAGTAGTTCGGAAGCGATCTCAACAAATCAAGGAGCCGACCTCCCATGCGTGCACGACGTGTGAAGCTTGAGTCTTGAGCCTCTGCCACCTGCACGTTTTTGCACTCGGCCCCTAGCTTTGTCCGAACTTTTCCAAGAATGCCTGACATGGAGCCGGAAACGTCCATGAGAATGTGTTTGCCAACGCCTGGGCCTCGCGAGGTGAGAGGCGACAAAACTCACTCCGTCCGGTTAACATTACACACGCCCCTACGATTAAACACGTTGCACAGGATCTTTATTGCCTACACCCTGTGGCCTTGCCAGGGGTCGCGCTGCTCAACCAGCCGCCTGAAGCTTCGAAACACGTTCGGCTCAACACCCGGGGCGGCTACCAACATGCGGGCGCAATAGCCATGGAGAACGGCCAAGACTCTGGCATCTGCTGAAGTCGAATTGACGTCAGGGAAATTCTTTACCACGTTCTCCATGAGGCATTCGTCAAGAGGTTCGTCAAGACTTGCAAGAGACGTCAACCTCAAGCAGGTTTGCTTTGGGCATAAGCTCCCGCACGTTCTCCATTCTCCGCCAGCTTTCCGGAAAACCAAGAGAGCTTCAACATGGGTTCCGTCCCGGCACACTACCGCAGGGTCATAGAAGTTGTCAAGGAAGCTGTCCTGCACGTCATCGCCTACCATGATTCTGTCGGGGCAGAAGGCAACCTGTTCCCATCTGGAAGAATCGCCACAATGGCCTATCGTCCAGTTGAAATTAGAAGGATGCCCAAGAATTCCTAGCCCTGAGAAGTTGTTGACCTGCATGTCTTCTATAGCCCTTTGTGAGCATGGCACAACGAAGCTTCCATCCTTCTCCGAAACAATGTGCATCTTCGAACTTCCTGAAACCGTGATCTGAAAGCTGTCGGCTGCTTCCATCCCACAGTCCAGCAAAATCCCTCTTGTTTGCTCGCAGTCCTCATCATCGCTCCAGTTGCTGTAGACGAAGGCTCCAACAGCAATAAGGACAGGAACCCCCTTCATGGCAAGATGGACCATCTCGACGCGGCACGCTCCTTGGCACGCGATTTCTAGAAACTGGGCAGAAGATCCTACAAGAGATTGAGCCACTGAAATGGAAACGGGAACTCTGCAGCAGGTTAAGCAGGAAGGGTCTTTTGTATTGTTTTTTGGAGGTTGGGCCGCTTCAGCCATAAATCCTAAGCCCTCGCTCCTTCACCGCCCTTCATGACACTTACTCGCAGGGAACAGCCCTGCAATCAGTGACCTACAGCTCTGAACGCTGCACAAATGGCAGAACGGCTTGGGAAGTAGACTCCCGAATCTAGCTTGATCAAAGATACTAGTGGAAATGGAAACATGAAACCTTGTAATGATGGTAGGCTTTCTTGCCCAAGACGCCAAAGATCATGATGCAAGGGCACGGAACCATCAGATCCATGGCAACCAGTTGTAACTTTAGCGGCAACAAAAAGCGGCAACGAAGAGACAAGGTCAAAAGGCGTACTAAAGAAAAGGTCGCGATACGGCATGAAAGCTCACCAACAAAAACGTGGTAACTCTGTGTTGTCTCGCTCTGTGGAACTCGCCCGAAGGCTCTGAGGTACCACCTCTTCCTCAACAATCTCTTGCAACAGCTTCTGTTGCTCCAAAGCCAGAAATTTTAACACTACGCTTTAAGCCCTACGACTGAAGCCTTTCAGCTGAAACAAGGAACATAAACTGCAAACCTCTGGGCTTCAGCTTTAGGAGTAAATGTAGGCCCATAATTAACAAACCCCCTCCTTTTTAAGGCCTTAACCCCCTCCTTTTTAAGGGCCTTAATAGTAGTAGGATCCCTATTATGATCCCTATTCAGGGGAGGGAGATTGTTAATCAGGGGTCTGGATTAGAGTTTACAGTTCCAGGCTCTTTTCTCTTCGGGTTCAGGGATATTGGACATCTATTCGGGAGTCCCCGAAATTTGTACATAACCTCAAGGTGCAGCATTCGTAGTATCCGAACATAGCCCCAATGTAGTCCCTGCGCTAATTAAGGCCGACAAGCGAACACACCGAACCCTGAACGTTATCCAGACCCGAAATCCAAAACCTCGCCTAAACCTTGAGTCCTTCTTCCCAGATTCAAGGCTCAGGGGTTGCTAAGCAGGTTACCAAGGTCACTGCAAGCAGACTAGCACCAATTAGGGAACTTACAACAATCAAGACTCTACAAACCAGCCCAACCAAAACCCCAAATCGCCGAACAATCTAAACCCTGCGTAAACGTTCTAAACCCTGAAGCCCGAATGCCCTAAACCCTGTACGCCCCTAAACTCCTAAATCCCTGCACCTCTGCAGAACATCTAAACACTGCAACTCTGCAGCCAGAGCACTTGACATCAGCCTCTGAAATCCAAAGCCGTGTGTCTCCCCTGGGCAAAGGCAGACTTAGGATGTAGGGTTTAGAGTTTTGGCTTTAGGGCTTTGGTTTAGGATTTAGGGTTTAACGTTTAGGATTTACGGTTTAGGATTTAGGCTTTGAGGCTTGGGGTTGATGACCTAAAATTCCAGAAGTTGGACACTCAACTTGGAAAGAAAATGGAAAGCAACATGGAAATTGGGTTTAGAGGTGGATTGCTTGAAGGATTGTAAACCCTAAACCCTCAACCCTTAATGACCTTAACCTTGTTTCAGGGGAAACCAAGGTGGGCGTACCAGGGGTGTTTATGTAGGGGGCCTGGTATAAGGATTGGAATGTACGGGCCTAAAGAATAAGGTTTTGCGGGGGCTACATGATATCACAAGTGTCTAGGGTTCAGAGGCGATAAGGCTGATCATGATCTGGGCTTCTATATTAGTTGGTGGCTTCGGATTTATACTGTTCAGGGTTAGGGTTTAGGGTTTCGCTTCGAGGTTTGGACTTAGGCTTAGAAATGTTGATGAGAGAGTTATGAAAATCCCATGGAACATGAAACGGTGAATCCAAAGGCAGATGAGCTGGAAAGCAAGATGGAGAATCAGATCTTAAAACTGGAATGGAAACTGCTCTTTGTGCGCGCATGTAGCGGAATTCGCTCAACTAAAAGTTGAGGATTTGGACTATGTTTGGCTTCAGGGCTTAAGGATGTAGCGCTCATGGTTAAGAACTCTGGGCTTAGTCCTCAACCCTAAACCCTTAGAGGGTTTAGAAGAACTCAGGGATTTAGACCTTAGGGTGCAGGCTCCGGAGGTATGAGGAGTGAATGAACATGAAAGGGAATCCCTAAACCCTAAACCATAAACCCTAAACCTTAGAGCACCAGACAAGGGTTTAGTGACTTAGGGCCTAGGGTTTGCAGGGCTTAGGGTTTCCCGGATTCCTTCAATGTAGCTCCTGTGGGTTTTAGTAAGCTCTTCTTCTTTTTGTATGGGAGTACATGACTGTTTTGGAGTTTAGGGATTTTGGTTTGGGGGGTTTGGCTTGTTCGCGTTTCACAGCGTAGGGGCTCATGGAGTGTGAGGGTTTGGAGCTTGAGTTCTGGAGCACAAGGGAGTTCAGAGATTTGCGATAAGAGCTCTGGGGATTGACGTACACGGTTTTGGGAGTTTATGTGGTTGAGGGTTGCACAAACCCTACACCCTAATAACCCCAATATACTATATAGATCTATATAGTACTTTCCATTTTCTCTTCCATTATCCCATTGTAGATTTTTACCAATACTAAGGTGTAGCCTGGAGGGGTTGAAGTGCTTCAAGTCAACCCCAACAGTCCGGGCATAAACGCTTCAAGTCTAGGCCGGAAAATCACAGGAGACTACCCTAAACCCTATTTCCTGGTTATAGCTTGAGGTTTCCCCACCTAGAGAAAAGGCCTCTTGACACAGCCGATTCTGGAGTTGGTACACGAGTGGTGTGTTTTTTGGTGGTGATTGGATCCCCATGCGGTTTTTGCATATGAAAACGGATGACCAAGCCAAGGATATAGTCTTACTCTGTACCGCAGGCTATACTGCAGCGTTTTTTCACGGACTTCAGCTAGTCATGCGAAAGCTGCTGAGATCAGCACTTCGGCCGATTAGTGAAACTGCGGCGGACGATGGTATGCTCATACATGAACACTACTTACATGGGGTTTTCTCGAAACAGCTGACCTTCAGGCGCCCCAGAGATCAGGAGACTAATCATGGGTAGGGCCCCTTCAAGGAATTTCGCAAGGGTTGTTTTGAGAAACCCGCACATATCCTGTAGCATTGCGCTGTTCCGTATCAGAATGCACAAGGCAATCACATGTGCTAATGCGAAATACCACATGCATGCATGAACATCATGCCACTCTTCTTTCGCGCCGGCAGGCATGTTGATCGCAGGAAAGAAGCCCATGATTTCGGAAACTATCCTAAACCTTAAACCCTCAACCCCCAAAAACCTTAAACCCCAAAAAGCCCTGAGTAAACCTATTCCCTTAAGCAAATCTTCTGCGGCGCCCCGCGTAGACCCCGAACCACAAACCTTCAGCCCTACCTCTCTCAAACAAACATAATATGAGTAGTGTTTTTTGGGTGGCTGAACCTAGTAAGATTATATTCCTATTATTAGATACTATACACAAAAGGAGGATATAGTCTTACTCTATATTGGGTACCATGATATTATTCACTAAAAAGATACTACTCATATGAGGGTTCAGGCTTTAGGCTTTACGGTTAAGGCTTTATAGGGTTTAGGCTTTAGGGTTAAGGCTTTAGGATCTAGGCTGTAGGGTCTAGGCTTTAGGCTTTAGGCTGTAGGCTTTGGGGTTTCAGGTTATAACCCCCGCCTAGACCAAGACCCTAAGACAGAAGCGCCATGCCCTGAACCCTGAAGAATGGGAGGGCTTTCGCAACCCATGCCCCAAGATTAGGACCCTATTATAGACCTATGGGAGCCAGAGGATCCTAATACCAGAATCCTCTGACAAAATCACTCAACCCTGAACCCGAAACCCTAAACCCTCAACCCTAGCCCCTGTATCCTGACCACCGTATCCTGACCAACTTGTACTGTATGCTCACTGATGGGGCGTAGGAAAACGGATCCGTAGAATAATAGAATGTTCATAGAAAAATTCACCCACTCCCTCTTAACCGCGGACAAGCCTTGACCCTAAACCTTACATCCTAAACTCTCAGTCCTAAACCTTAAGCCCTGAAACGCAATCCCCATAGCCTAAACCCTGAACCCTAAACCCTGAACCC